CCAAAGACTTATTCTGAGTACCCTGAGGTCATGAAAATGCATGAAGAAAGGCATATGACACAGTAACCCCCTGAATCCTTAAATGGCATTTTACTCTTTGGTCTTTGTATTCCTTAAGTTGTTATTTTTTAAACATCACTAGGCACTTTTGATGTCCTAACTTTGATAACTCTGGTGGTGTCTAGGAGGGCTGGCTTTGTTTCCTGCTAGAAGAATAATATGCTAATTCTGTCATGTTTATATAGAGGAAGGAAATAAGTTAGTGAGGACACCACAGAAAGTGTCCCTGTGATTTATTACAGGACAATAAAGAAATAGGAGTAACAAAAGAAAATACAAGCAGTAACAACAGAAAGATTGAAAGAATATATGTGTTCCTAATACAGTTGAGTTATACTGAGGAGGAAGGAATACAAGCACATCGTAACTTTGTGTCATTCATTTTGATACAAAAGTCAGGATGAAACAGTGTAGACAGAGCAACCTTTCCAGGGCAAAAATGAGGAGTGGTCTAACTCCAAATATTCTAGCCATGTGTCAGCTACATGTTCTAGCCAGGGTCTATTGCATTGTACCCCTGCATCTTGTGTAAACTCCTGTGCCAACAGTTACAGCCACTAGGCAGATTTAAGAATTTCCATTATTTCATGTTAAAATGGAGTTCTTCTAAAAGTCCCCTTCAAACTTCTGTCAGTTTACCCTAATTTTCCATGTTAGATGTTTATGGAAGAACTGCTTTCTGATAATTTTGTATTTATAAATCATTTGGTGATACTAAGGAAAATAGAAAGGGGTGGGGGTGGGGTGGAGGGTCCAGCAAAAGACAAGAGAATTGTGCCTGTGTTTACAAATTCTCTAGCTGAGATGTTTTTGCACCTGGATGCTTTGAAAAGTTCTATTAATTATTCAATAAGTAATTATAATTTATATATATATATCTTTGAAGGCCTTTTAAATGCAGATATCCCCTTTGGCTTTGGAAGTCCCTGAGTCAAAATTCTAAAGAGAGTGTAGCTGAGAAATCCCTTCTGTTCTGTTACTGTACCTTCCCTCACTACTTGTAGTTGGCCACTTTCAGAGATGGATTTGTGCTTTGACTGGCTTTTCTAACCAAGAAAATGATGTGACTTTTTGCCTTTTTTTGTGAGAGGCCAGTCCCATCTGGACAAGTTCCATACATTCAGATCCCAGAAGTGCATTGAAGGCTGGTGATTAAAATTCTTACACATTCACTAGCACTGAACATGATCCATCCCCAGAGTTTGTTCATTTTGGCCGGGCCAAACCTTCTTTGTTCTGTTCAGGCACAGACAAGGATTTCATCTTTAGTTCGTCCTCACTGTACCCCAATTCCCCACTGGAATGTGACTGTGGGTGTATGAACTGTGTGCCCTGACAGCTTGGAGATAGGCTCCCCTGGGGACTGGGGTGAGGCCAAGGCAGCAAAAGGAGGAGGCTGTGTACCCTCCTTTAGCAGGGGGACATGCGGGGACGTGAGCAGCCAGCACAGAGCTGTGTCACTGCAGCTTTTTGGGCAGGACCTGATTTCTCTGTCTACACAGAGTCAAGCTAAGTCACAAACAATAATACAAACTTATGGGCAGCTTCATACCATTTTATTCAGTGACCATTTTATTCATTAAAGTGACAAATGGCCTGACACCACACAGTGAATGCTGAGAATGAAATGAAAGTTTAAGTAGCAGCTCATCACCTTATTTTGCCATCCTTGATATTTGGCACCTTTCCAATATACTGCATGAATCAAAGATCTTAGACCAGATACATAGTTGTGTATTAATACATCCTGACACACGAAAAAGAAGGCTGAATGAGGATGACACGACCCACCATTCTTTTTTGTTGCTATATTTTTTGCGATTTTTGTAGTTTCCAGCAGTCTTTTACAGAAGCTAACCGCTGAAGCCCTATTTCAATATACTTAGAGAAGAGATTGACTTGGTACAGGTCATGTGACTATGCATCTTTTTTGCCTCTTCTACCTAAAAATTTACCTTAATGAACAATGAAGAACCAGTGAATCAGCTCAAAGAGGGAAATAATAATTTAAAAAATAATGATTTTTTCAACTTCAGAGCCTGCCTCTTTTTAATTCAAAAAAAGCCTACAGCCCAAAATGTTTTCTTGCAATGAGTTTTGAGGGAGTGAGTTAATCTTGCTGTGATATAGTTATTGGGGCAGATATTTTCCAGCTTTGTTACTGAAATTTCCTTACAATGAGAGCTATAATAGACAAAAATAATGTCTGTAAATCATAGCTTAAAATTACTACTTTGAGTATGAATAGGAATCGAAAAGCTTTGTATAGAAAGTGTATTTTTTTGTCTACAGCTAGATATGAATCTCTCTTTTTGTGCTTGCAGACAGAGAATTGCAGCAGAACTTGTCAAAATATGCAGCAAGATGTATGGAATCTCAGATCAGGGCCTGGACCCCGGGGAGGGCACCTGTAAACTGAAAAGACACCTGTAAAGTTTTCAGTGGTAATTAATGAAGCTGTCTGCCCCTTGTGACAGAATTCAGTATTCTTACCACTCAGCCTGGCAGTCACAGGATTCTTAGAAGTAAGTGTCAATACTGCAAACATAAGGGACTTTATAAATAGGTCAGTGGAACAAGCAGCAAGTTTTCTTTCCTTCTTCTATCTTCCTCACCACCCTGTAAAACCTGAGAACATCAGTTATGGGAATAAAAATACGTATCCTAAAGAAGCACCAAGGAAAGAGATATCACTACTTATTTGGGGTCTCAGCCAATAAACTTTCTGCTATTTTTTTTTTCTGATTTTATAAATGGAAACATTATTTTTGGAGACTATCAGTGATTGTGAAAATGTAAATATAACAAAATTTAATAGTGTTGCTTTAATCTTTATGTCTTCTGGAAATCAGGCAATTGCAAAGATTACACAACACACGAGAGACACTAAATAGGGGGGGAAATGTACATTTCATACATTTTATCAGAGCATTCAGAGGGAATAAATATTTCCCAGATTATATATGAAGTATGATTTCTCTTATGGAATGATTCTGTAACTGAACAATATAAAATCTATGCAGGGCTTAAAGGATTTGTTTTCCCCCACTCTTAGCCAATCCCTTTATCAATACAGGATCCCTGTTTTAAAGATTTTGTATGAACAGAGAAAGGGAGTTGTCATGGAATTTACTTCAAGGTAAATGATATCCTTTGCAAGAACTGGAAATTCTGAGGCTGTGGGCAGTTCAGATGTGATTCTAGGAGTCTGCCTGTGTAATCTTGAAGAAAAGGCACTTCTGTCCAATCATTTACTTATCTAAACTAGTTTTCATCTGTAAGATGATTCAGTCAGATAAGGGCCATGCAATGGCTCTAGAATGGAATGGGCTATGTTAAAATGTGAATTGAATTCCTCTTGCTGGTTATGCATCTCTGCTGTGGGTATATTTCCTAAACAGGTTTTCAGGCTCCAATGAGAGAAGGACTTGTTAGATGCAGTGATGGAATCAGATATTTTCTGAATTGAAATATACTTTGTTTCTATCCCCTCTGTAAAAGACAGAGATAATCTAGGGCATTTGCTTTGGTCCTTCATGTTTCTTTTGAACATTGAACACACTTTGGTGTGCAATGATCAAATACTTCAAACACTGACAATCGTACATGAGTTTTCCATTGAAGTGATTTATAACATGTTTTGAAGACTGAACAAGTTGACTAAAACAAGTGTAAACTTGTTATTAATAAAATCTCTTAAAAATTTCTCCTTAGTGCCTGACAAGGTGATACATTCACATTAACTGAAATCATACTTATGTGCAGCTGATTCATACGACATGAAAGTTGAAGGTCATGAATTCATTTGGTTTATTACTATTATTTCCAATGTGTTGCTTAAAGTAAGGATGGATTTTCTATTAACTCATGCCAGTATTAGTGCCATGAGTATGTTCTGGATAGGCAGCAGATGTTTCCTGCTTGGGCTTAAGTCCTAAGGATGCCCAGTAATAATTGATTATTCATATCTGTAGACAAACATTTTGAAGCCTTTGACCTACAAAGGAAATCTTTATCTTTCCAAACATTATATCATCCCCATTGGAAGAGAATTACCGTGATAAGTTGTAAGGAAACTTCTGTAAACCAGGTATCAACATTCAGATAACTTGATAATAGCCTACCAGTGAATTTAACCAGAGAATACTTGTAAGATGTGATCTGACAAGGTAACAACTAGAGCTCTGGGGAAACATGGATGTAAGCCACTAGCCATGCATTCAGCATTATAATCAGGAGGACAACAGGTCCTCAGCGGAGGAGGATCTGAACTGGCAGGAGGTGTAAGTGTTGTCTTCATTCACATTCTTGCTGATACTTCAGGCATGAGTAGAAACTCTCTGTGAAGCAAGTACAGTGGTTAGTTGGGAGATATTGGTATAGAAAGTTGAGGAAACAAAGGGGATGAGAGGATGAACAACAAGAAAACTTAATCTTATATAGTGCTTTAAGTTTATCTTAAGTATAGTTTATATACACTTTAACAGTTATCCTTACGAAGAATAAGCATTTAAAGAAGAGAGACAACAGCCATAAAGCTTGGAATGGTTCAAGTACCGCAGGTTGCAGACATCGAGTCACAGATGACAGTGAAGGACATTACAGCTAGAAATAGGCGACACTTGGGAGTGTGGTTTACTGGTGGATTTGGCAGTGCTGGGCTAACAGCTGGGCTTACTGATCTTTGAGGTCTTTGCCTACATGGGTAATTCTGTGATCCTGCGGCGTTCGCCGCTGGCGAGTCTCACCTCAAAGCTTACGGACAGCACCGCCAGGGGGCGCACGCGCGAGGCGGGAGGGGCGTGGCCTGAGCGCGTTGGGGGCGGGGCCTGAGCGTAACGGGGGCGGGGCCTGAGCGTAACGGGGGCGGGGCGGGGCCTCCTGCGCCTGTGCGCGGCGCCCCCGGAAAGGCGGCCACGTCTGCCGGAAGCGATGGGACTGAGCCGCCCGGCCCGGCCCGCGGCCCCGCGCTGACCGGCGGCCCTTCACAGCTCCCCTCGGGCCGGGGCGTCCCCCGCGCTTGCAGGAGGTGAGGCTGGGCCGTGCAAAGGCCCCCGCCGCTCCTGAGTGGGGCCGGGCCTGGGGAGGGCGGTGTACAGGCAGTGCTGGGGGTGGGGGATAGCGGCCGCTCTGAACGTCCTCCTCCCGGGAGCTGGGGTAGAGGCACACGCCGCCGCTGTGGTGTCGCAGGCCCGTGGTACAGGTGAAGGTACGCACCTGCCCGCCGTGTTGGAGTCACGGGAGAGGCAGCGGGCTCCAGAGTTTGTGGGGGAGATCTGCCTGAGCCAGAATTCGCAAGCCAAGTGTCTGAGGCATAGTTGTTTTTGTGATACTCTGTAGCAGGTGGTGATACCGGAAACTGATGCAGTGGTCTGATTTTAATAGCCTTGATTTAAAAACCTATGTTTTGTGTGTTTTTCTCAGAAGCTGATTTATTTCCATTAGTTTCCAAGACAGCAAAATACCAAATGAGTAGAAGAAAAATATTATAATAACTATAGCACTAATAGCTTAACACAGTTGTTTAAGTAAACAATATGTCTTGCTTTATCAGCAGCAATCTAATTTGTAATCCTTCTGTCTTTTGCAGTATATGGTCCTGAAGTTTTAATTGTACAGAGTTCATCAACAGACATTCATCATGTCTTGGCTTGCTGATCTCGCTGGAAAAGCAGAGGATCTACTCAACAGAGTTGATCAAGGAGCTGCATCAGCTCTGAGCAAAAAAGACACATCAAGCAGTGCAGTTTATGATAATAAGAACTTGGACTCTGCCAATGAGTATTCTGAAGTGTGCCAGCGTACTGGAGAACTGAAATACCAGACTTCATCCAAAGCAGCCTACATCTCCTCAGCAGCTGAAAATATTAAACACCAAAAGGCCACAATCCTGGCAGGAACAGCAAATGTTAAAACAGCACGTAGGACATCCTCAGAGGCAGCTTCTCCAGCAGAAAATGCTTCCACACCCAGAGCTGCCTCACATTTTGTGAGAAGAAAGAAGTCAGAGCCTGATGATGAGTTACTATTTGATTTTCTCAATAGTTCAGAGAAAGAACCTAATGGAAGGATAGATTCTAAAAAGGAGAAGAGCAAGGCACCTGTTCTTCAGAATCACTCTCGGACTTCAAGCATTAGTTCTGTGTCTACCAGTACACAGAGTGCAAAAACTACTGAAGATAATTCTGCCAGGAGCCAAGACAATGGTAGTTAAATAGTATTGAACCTAGAGATATTTAAAACCCAAGTATGTCTAGGGTAAGGCTAGGTAATGCATGAAACTGCATGTCACTTCATGAAACATTTAGTGGTGGTAATATGTCAAATGTGTGAGGTACAGCAGGACCTTTCACTTCTCATCACTGAGTTAATAATACATACCATGTTAATTTGACAAACAACATAATTAATACCTAAATCTTTTGTGCTCTGGATCTACCTTGTTGCTCACCCTGACCTCTCTAAGCTGTGGTCTAGCCTTGCTTCAGCCCCATATGTCCCCATGTAGAAGCACAGGTGCTGCTTTTGTCTGGTCACTCAGACCCTTAGCTGTTGTTGCCACGTGGGAGGGGGAGTGACTTTACCCACAGAGAGATGGTGCTGGCTGTTGCCCAGTGCAGTGAGGTGGGGTGAGGTGTTCCCTGTTCCACCATGCCGGAGGGGTGAGCTGACAAACTTGCTTGGCCTGCAGGAAGCTGGATGTGGACAGGCTGGTGTAGAGCTACAGGCATGAGAGAGCCAAAGAGATAAAGCCTCTGGGTTTGCCAGGAGTAGTTCATGAGTGCAGTATTAAGTCCTGAGTCCTGAGTGAGCCTCCAGGCCAGACAGTCAAAAGCTGGGGCTGAGCTCAAGTCAACCACGCAGAGGAGAATGTGGCTGGGAAGTGTCAGGAACTTGTGTTCTCTTATCCGACTGTCCAGCCTGTACTCGCTCCATCCTTTTTGCTGTGCTACTTTGCTGTTACTTATTTTAGAAAATTGAAGCAAGTGGTTCTGTTATTAGTAATGTGGTTAGAATATTTTATTATTTGTTTAGCACTTTGAGCTTGTAAAGTATTGTGAACGCCAGTTTTTTATTTACTACATTAAGTATGCTGAAAAGCTTTAGGCAGAAAAAGGGATAATTTCTAAATATGTGAATATCTTTCTGAGTCCATGACTTTTTAGTAAGGTTTACTATTAATAATAAATAATACAGATATATTAGACCTGGCTCTATGGCCTTGCTGATTGGTGCTTAAGAAACATTTGTTTTGCTCAGTGTGGCTTGTTGAATTTTCTTCTGAGGATTTTTGAGCAGCGTTTGCATTGTGGAGCTGCTAAATAAGAAAGTATGCAGTTATAATACAGGATTTGAACATGCTGTTTTCCAAAGTTGATTGTACCGATATATCTGTGTCATTTAAATATTCAGCACAGAATCTGTTGAAGTAGCTTGTGATATATTAGCTATAGACAAAACCAATTAACATTATACTTTGTCTATTGCCATGGCTATAATCTAATCTGTACTATAAATGGCTCATTTCTTGTTTCATCAGCTTAATTAATCTATTGAATTTTCCAGACAAAGAAATGCCCAGATTATTTTATAAGTTGGAAACTGTGTAAATAAATCAAAGGAAAGATAATGACACTTCTTAGGATTGCCTTAATCAGAAAAGGGCTTGAGAAAATGTGGAAGAAATCTTCCTGTCACTGCTGCTACTTGTGGGTGTGGTGTTGCTCAGAATTAATAGTGTGCCCCCATTCCTGGGCTTGGGATGTTAGGGGCTGTTGCAGTGGTAAGAAGAAAGGTGAAGCAGCTTAGTTAATGATCACAGGGGGAAGTAAATAATACTTTAACAATTTCACTGCAGTCTTGCTTAGAATTAGTTGCAGTCTGGCCCTGTGGATTTTCAGCAGTTATTCACCTGAGACATACTAAATTCAGCAGTAATATGTTTGGATTGCCTGCTTGTTTGTCCATTGCTTGCTATGTCATTTTATCGTAACATTGCTGCAAATCTTCCAACTATATGCATGCTGGAATCAAGACTCTTAGAGTGGATATGTAGCTTTCACAGCATTAATCAAGGATACTGTGTGTGTGTATGATGGGAAAAAGCTGTTGGTTCCTCCTTCCCTCCAGAGGACTGTTGTTCAGAATACTACTAGGAGCTCCTGTATTGTTCTCTCTTTTAAAATTAAATTTGCATTAGCAAAATCTGAATGGAAACCCAGAATGAGTTTGTTCTAAAAAATCCTGCAGTTAGTTGCTACATATATTTAGTGTTTTTTGTTACTCTTCAACTTCTGAGAACTTTTCTGAGCAGCTAAATCATAAATACAATGTTAATATTTTGAAACCCTAAAGTTGTCATTTATGTGATAAGAAATTTTATAGCTTCCATGTCTTGTCTTGCAGTATTAATAAAAACACTGCATGATGCATGTAAATAGCCCTGATTTGCGCAGTCCCTCATGAGAAGCAGCTCCATATTCCATTTCAGCATAAACTGTTTTGATTTATTTTTGTTGTTATTCCTTAACCATTGACACAGAACATGGAACTACTGTTTATAGAAGGGCAGTTTACAAACACATGCATTTGTTCTAAGATGCATCTCTCTGTACAGAAACTCCAGACAGTTCAGACTCTGGCCTGGGAGCACAAGGGAGTGGCCTGAAGGATTCATCACTAAGTGCAGCAACCAATCCCAGCCTTTCAAGTAATGATGATTCCAAATCTCATGAGCTGTCCAATCTTCGCCTGGAGAACCAGCTGCTGCGAAATGAAGTTCAATCTTTAAATCAAGAAGTGGCCTCATTAATACAGAGGTCCAAAGAAACACAAGAAGGTACTTCAGCTATATCATTAGTAAAATGCTAGTGAACTAGGAAGTGATGCTCTGTGTATTTATAATAAAAACTCTCCAAGTGCATTTGCATGTATGACTTCCCATGTAATGAGATGGGAGAAATTAAAAGGCTTGTTCAGCTACAAAGATAAAACAGATGTTGATTAAAATGATGTGCTCAAGTTAGTTACAAAACTTACATCTTAATAAAACACTGGCAACAAATACCATGTTTAAAATACTTTTCTTGCATTTTAATGGCTTTTGCAAAATACTTATTTTTAAATGAGCAAATTCCTTTGAATACTTCAAACTGACTACTTTCTGGCTGTGGTAGAGACTGTAGTCTCTGATGCTTAGAAACTGATGGTAAGAATATAAAATTAGTATTTTTAATATGACATCACTGATGTTTTCAATGCCAAATTAAATTACAAATGTAAAAAATGTGAGTACAAGTTAAACAATAGACCAGAGAGCAAACTCCTGCTGTTAGACGTGAAGTCGAGGTACAACATTTTTTTCACATTAACTGCATAAGCCATATAATTTTAATATCCAGTGAAGTTTAATGTCTGATGTTAGATTAAAAACAGAAGCTTCTAAGTATTCAGGCATTATTCACAATTGGTGTATTTTTCCATTGTGTTTTATGTGACAATAAGCTCAAACTAGAATTAAACTAATTGCTTTATGCAGACATTTCTGTTGGCACAGGGATATTTGACAGTAGGCCATTGCAGGGGATGGGGCAGATGAAATCTGTCATCTGCAGTGTGACTCAGAAGGAAATGTCTATTTTAAGATCACCTCTAAAATTTTCTGGGTTGTGCTTTGACAGCCAGTCTGGCATTTGTTACTTCCTGGTAGCTCATAAATTTTCAATTTTACTTCAACTTTGTTATATTTAAGTTTTTTCTTTAAGAAATAAGGTGCCTCCTGACTCCTTACAAGACCTTGCAATATCTACTTTCGTAAACTTCAAAGAAATTTCTTATTTTGTAGAACTGAACAAATCTCGGGAGAAGGTGGAGAAGTGGAATGTTGACCATTCAAAGAGTGACAGGATGGTTAGAGAACTTCAGGCTCGAGTGGATGATCTTACAGAAGCTGTTGGTGCCAAAGATTCACAGCTAGCTGTGCTGAAAGTACGGTTGCAAGAAGCTGATCAGCTCTTAAGTTCTCGGACAGAAGCTTTGGAAGCACTGCAGAGTGAAAAATCACGGTACTTCCTAATTTCATACTTTGGAATTCTGCAAATAGTAGTAAACTTGAAAAAAATCAAGGTAGATAATTTAGTGTCTTCAAGGATAAAAGATAATAAACTAATGAGGAAAGATTTGACATACAAGGATTAAAGTTTGCACTAAAACTGCTCTGTCATAGTTGGCAGTGGGAACAGGACAAATGAGTATTAAATAGGGCATCCCTTGGCATCTGATTATTGAAATCCATTTTGTGTAAAATGTTTGTGTCAGAGGCGTGAAGGTCCCAATATTTTTTTTTCTTGAAAAATAGACTTGCTTATCCACAAATATAAAGGTTTTTCTGAACTTATCTCACTGCTGGGATGTGGATACTGCAGAATATAGGCCAGGGAGGAGAAGTGTGAATCATTAACTCCAGACCTCATGCCTGTAGTCTGTGTGCAGTAATCTACTGGGCAAATTTTCAAAGCTGGTCTGGAAGACAGGAGGTTGTATTTCTACATGAAGAATCACACTAGCTTGCTCCCTTTCCTATTAACGTGTGTCTCTTTCAGGATAATACAAGACCACAGTGAAGGAAGCAGTTTACAAAATCAAGCCCTTCAAACTCTTCAGGAGAGGCTGCGTGATGCAGACTCTGCACTCAAGCGAGAACAAGAAAGTTACAAACAAATGCAGGTTAGACATGTAGAGTAAGGAAGACTTTTAAGACTCTGCTTCTGAGATGAGATCCATGAAGTTCCATGTGCTCTCTCCTCCCTTTGACTTCAGTTCCTGTTCAGGGTACTAATTATTTGTAAGGATGTGCTGTCAGCTGCGCTAAATACCCTTCAGATGCTAATTTATTTCTTATATGTTATCTTGAAAGGTTCATGAGTAAAAGTTTTCGATGTTAGTGTTGACAATTTTTATTATTATTAATCATTTTATGTCAACATATTTACAATTTTTTCATGCTAACTTTAATGTTAATATGTGTTTTAAAAGTAAATCTGTAATCAGTTTAGTTTTCCATGGTGTGTTGTTACACAACATATTGTTAGACAATTTTACTGTGATGAAGGATCACTTCTGTGGTAAAGATGCAAGTACATTATTGATAGAGAATGTTTTCTACAGTTAATTTGGCCTTTGTTACATATAATGACATCTCTGAAAATCTTTTATCAGTGTCTGTTCTGGTTTTTTTTACAGTACTTCAAAATATATCATACGACAATTGATATTTTTTGAGGGGCAAGCTTACTTTTTATTTGCTAAATAAATGTGAATAATAGGAAGATTGTTATTCCCTTGCTATTTGTGGTGAGGGAAAGAAAAGCATATTCTTACTCAGATTATTTACCACTTGCTTAAGCAAGCAGAGTTTCTTTCCACATAGCAGTAATGTGTCTTTAAGCTGGAGCTGGTAGATAGGAGGTGGTGTGCTCTGTGTAGTTGCTTTTAAACTTCCTTTTTTCCTTCCTAGGTTAAAGTTGAGACTGTGTTTAAACACAAGGTATTGTTTCTTTATTGCCAATAGAATGAGTTTGCGGCTCGTCTAAGTAAAGTGGAAGCAGAACGTCAGAACCTGGCAGAAGGGATAACTGTAGCAGAGAGAAAGTATTTAGATGAAAAGAAGCGAGCTGATGAGCTTCAGCAGCAAGTCAAAGTAACTAAAAGCCACCTAGAATCTGCAAAACAGGAACTGACAGACTATAAACAGAAAGCTACTCGCATTCTCCAAGTAAGCATTGTTGTGAAGAAGTACAGTGTGATTTGTATGCTTTACCTGTTTCAAGGTGTTATGGTTCAAATAATCTAACTTGTGGTATTCTTTTTTGTGTGACCTGTAATGTGTTCTGTGGCATATCTATGATGGTACATATACAGAACAGCTACCAGTCTGCCTTTTGTAAACTTAAGTTTACAGATGAAGTTATGGAATTGAAATGGTAGTTCAGGTCCTGAACCTGAAAAAAATCCAAGTGAACCATTGCATTTATTGTGCATCATCTGTCAGTGTGTTCCACATCCAAGAGTCCAGATAGTTAAGTAGATGAAGCCTACAATTTGTCCCATATCCAGTATTCTTGATTCAAGAATATTGCTCTGTTCTGCTTGAGGCTGAAGGATAGCACAGAATGGGTACATACTGTGTCACCAGAGAATATTTTTCCATGTCCTGAAAGTTTGCTTGTGGTTAATGTTATATGAACAGTGGAAATCTGATATTTTGTGCTGAGTTCTGTACTATATAGATTGTCAAAGATGCCATGTCCAGATGTGGTTGGTTTGAGTCTTGTTTATAAGTGTTAGCAAGATGTTGAAGACAGAGATCTCTTTAGAATAGTTATTTTAGTGAAATGTTCAAGGACAGGTTTTGAATCATCTTGGTAAATATGTAAAGCCTAAAATCACAAGTCAATGTCAAGGTAACGTTAGACTGACTCTGAATAAAACGGTTTATCCTCTTTCCTGGAAGAATTATCGCTGTATTTGGTTCCTGATTTTGTTGTCAGGAGAGAAAGGAGGTCAGTTTTGTCTATAGTGTCTGTTGGTGTGCATCTTGTCTGTTTCAGTACCAAGAGTGCCATAATTGTTTTCCATGACAAGTTTAACATTCCAAGCACTTGTAAAGAACAAAGCTGTACTCTTCCACAGATAACACAGGCTTTCAGTAAAATTAATCTTACGGCATACAGGAAATCAGAAAAATTATCAGTATGGAAGCATTTTCATTTTCAAATTTCTAGGGTCATTATTGGATAAAAGAACAGATCAACCAGTCACTATAGCATATTCTAGTTGAGCACTTGTTCAATACTGCGTAAATAATATTGATTTATTTTTTCAGTCCAAAGAAAAGTTAATAAACAGCTTAAAAGAAGGCTCTGGTATTGAAGGCCTGGATAGCAATGCAGCAAGCACGGTGGAACTGGAGGAACTGAGACATGAGCGAGACACTCAGAGAGAAGAAATACAAAAACTAATGGGGCAAATACAACAGATGAGAACAGAGCTGCAGGTAGCTGTGCCTATGTACACCTGTATTTGCAGTTAGCTACAACAAAGGACTGTTCTCTTGTGTACTGTGGGTCTGTTGTTTCTAGTATTTATTACCTTACTTCTCTCTTCCCTCATTACTGTGCACTCCTTTTGAGGGAAGCATTTCTTTCCTAATAATCATAATGATTTCTCTAGCCATCACCTATATTCTTTTCTGCAACAAGAATCCTTGAAGCACTGTAATCCAAGTAATCTGCTGGCATGATGGGCTCAACACAGCAGATGCATGCAAGCCCACTTTGCAAAGTTTTAGCCTGTAGACAGTAGAAAGGAAGCAGCAGGGCCTTTTCATGTTCACAAAACACATTTATTTTATTACTGTGTTACTAAAAATATTCTGTATAAAATGACCAAGTGTAATTTATCCAATATACCCACACCTTCCTTTTCCTCTGAAGAAATATTGCATACACTACTTTTTTTGTTGTTACCTGAGGCAGATTTGCAGTAACATTTGAATGTTAGTGAAATGGTTATATTTGTGTTCATTTCAGGATATGGAGACACAGCAGGTAAGTGAAGCTGAGTCAGTGAGAGAGCAGCTTCAAGACCTACAAGAGCAGATATCAGCACATAAAATGGCCAAGCAAGAAGCAGAAGCTGAACTGGAACGGCAAAAACAGGTAAGGAATTCTTGAAAGCTGGATCTCTTTTTAGGCCTCATGTGGTGCCATCAACAAAGCACTTGGCTTAATAATAGAGTATTTGGATACTTGGGCAGTGTTTGATTAATGTTTTGTCTAGTACTCTAAAGAAATCGCTAAAGGCTTGGTGAATGTCACTAGGTCAAGGAAAGTGCAGCCAGGACTAAGCAATGGTCAGGGCCTTCTGGATACTGCTGATGAACAGAGATCCTGCTGAATAAACAGTACCATAAGGGAGTGCACAGAATTGATCAGAATCTTGAATTTTATTCAGCAGGGAAATCGTCAAACAACAGGGATGTAGTAGCAAGTGTAACATTTTTTTATATCAAAAAACCCTAATACTGAAAGTGGCTACTGTGGAACTTCCTGTGCTCAGTTAATACATAAGGTGTAGCTTGTAAAGCAATGTCATTGTAGTACCAATTTAGAGGTAATTTATTTAATCCATTTATTACTCAGTTCTGAATCTAATTGTCATTACTTCTAAACTGCTCTAGTAGACAAATTGCTGACAAAATTATGTTAATGAATTCTATCGGAATTGTGTCATCTTTTTGAGCAGATTCTGTCTTGATTTAAGCAGTTTTGTGCTATAAAGAGAGGGGAAAAAACTGCAAATTCGTATTCCATGTGAACAAACTTATTATGCAGTAGGAATTGAACAAATACTTTGCACCCTGTTAAAAAGTTTCCTTGTAAGAAAAAGCTCATGTAAAGAGAATTAATAATGAAGAAAGCACAAGTCATCTGTATCTTCTAGGAACAATTTATCTCATAGGATTATCTGTCCTTTCAGAAATTGCATTTTAATGAGATGGTTGCAGCTTGAACTAATTAAAAGGCAGAAGTCGAGGTCTGCTCTTGATGGGGTAGCTGGTGTTTATTATGTCAAAGCAGATGGCAGATGGTATTTTGTTACTTCTGCCCTTCTGAGGAATATGCTCTAAGTCAATAGAAAGAGTGAGGTGAATTAAAAAAAGCATCAGTTATTGCAGAAACTGAAGTCTTCCTTTTGATGACACCCATTTACATGTGCTTTTAACATAATTGCTTGTGTTGATACTTGATGTAATTATGGTCAGTTCTATCTGGGAATTGCTTTAACTATTGTCCTAAGGTTTCTGAAACTAAAGATGGAAAATAAATAGAGGTGTTATTTTTTTGTACATCTGATGGTTCAAAGGGAGAACAGGATCATCTGTTTTCTGTAGCAACTGACAGCTGAAGCGATAGTGATTTGAAGATTGTCTTAATTTAAAAGATAAGCTTGGTAGGTCTGTAAGTGCGAGCTAAAATAGCCACTAAATCATGGGAGTAACAAAACTTACAGTTAGATTTACTCTTCAGTAATTTTTTTTTTTTACTGATCCTTCTCCTTTCACATCTGCTATGTTAATTTATCCTAAACTTTAGAGGAAAATGTATGTCATAGAGAATTATAGCTATGCCAATGGTTTTCAAACATGTTTAAAGAATGATATTTTGAATTAATGAGTTTATTTTAGGAATACAGATACCCCCTAAGTATTTTGTAATTCCTACATTATTTACATAGTTTTAAGATAGCGGTACAACAAATGGTGAAAGTGTAAGGAAGATAAAGTTGTGGTCCAAATGAAATTGTGTGACTTGCAGTAAACTAGTCTGCATTGATATTTATATTAGGGCAGTCTCCACAAAAGAATTTAATTGGCCTTGTAGGTTGTGTCTTGATACTCAGCTTTCTCTATCCCCATACCCCCCATCCTAGCCAGACATGTACCTAAGATAATATTTCAGTTTGTATTTGATTGCAGCATATTGCTTTCTTGTGTTTTGTTGTGAAACTCTAGATAACTGGAGTTAGTATCTCAAAATATATGTATGTATGAAGTCTTTAATGTGTAATTGTGATACATTTTTTAGGAACTTCATTATACTGAAGAAGAATTGTATCGAACGAAGAATACTTTGCAAAGCAGAATAAAAGACAGAGAGGAAGAAATTCAGAAGCTCAGAAATCAGGTGTGTATAGAAAATAATTTTCTCTTATTTTCTATATATATTAGAATAAATATAATAAATATACTATTTATTTTAAAAATAAATATATAATATAGTAAATAATAAATAAATGTAATAAATATATATATATAATAAAAATATCCTGAAAAATCCTGTAAGCATTCTACTAGTGAGGTACAGTGTACTTGTTTTCAATAAAGAGTGGAGTTTTGAGAGTAGGAAGTACAAGAAGTGAACCATGTAAATAGCCTATTTTATAGTTGTATGTGCTTTTATATAAAGGGGGAGGGAAATCAGCCACTGTCCCAACTAGACCTGGTGAGGGGTGTTGCATCAACGTTCTTCTCTTTGCAAACTAAAAAACTTGATGGAGTTTGATTAGGTCATTATGAATTCTGCCAAGATCCTTGTAACTGTTGAAAGAACCTAAGTTATATATCCTGCAGATGCAGTGATCCATCTAGCCCACTGTTCTGTCTTGGCCAGTGGCAGTAGGGCCAGCAGGTGAGCCTGTCCAGTTCTTTCATTCCTGTGTACCTGCCCAACATCAGCACTTGAATTAGGGTTGTTAGTGTTTAAGTCTTTACTAAGTGCTACTGCTGTGTTGATGGACCTGATTCCCTTATATCAGTCTAATCCCTTTTGGAACCTCCTCATACTTGTGAGTCCCTACTATCTCCCTTGGGCAGCAGGAAGGGAAAAGCCTTGTTCTGTTACCTTAGCATAGTGAAAAGTAGGCTGTTTGTGGAGAAATTGGTAGTCTGGTGTTGGGTATGGTCAGCTGAGCAGTTACAGTGTCAGGATTTGGAAATAGTTGTGATGTGATACAGATTTCTTGGGCATGATGATGGCAGGTGAATTTAGTGCTGAACTTCAGGACTACCTGCACCTGCCTGGTTGCAGGCACCTAATTTGTATTTTGGATAGCTGTATTTCCTGGTGGTTCTGTTTTTTCATTAATGAAGCTGCGTCTGTGGAATATGATGCCACAAAGTGGCTGAGGTCCAAGACTGTAGTGAATAGATGAGCTATTGCATATATGGCAGACCTGGTGATTCCCATTTGCTTGAAATATTTTCTGCAAATTGAATGACATCATCCATGTGAAATGCATGATCCATTTGCTGGCCTTGCAGTTTCTATTTGCTAGTACAATCATGTTTTCTGCCTTGATGCTCCTCAGTTCTTCTGCAACATATCCTGCATTTTCACCATTTCATTAGTTTTTCTGTAAAATGGAATCAGATTCTCCCCATTTGTACTGAGTTTTTCCTTCCTTGCTTGAAAACATTTTTACATATGTACTAAGTTGATGGTATGGTAGCCAGGGTGGATTAGTTTGCTACTGATTGCTGTTGAAACTTGTCTCTGAGGCATAGCATCGATGTTGTGATCAAATTTAGGCTTATACAGAAACTTTCATATTATTATAGGTGGAAAACAGAGAAATACATTTTTACCTGGAGTTTCTTGTGTAATGTGAACAGTTAAGAACTGTTGAAATTAAGTTTCCTCTTTTGCACTCACCAGTGGTAGTTTTGATGGCATTATCCTGTAAAAATTCTGTAGTGGAGTAACTTAGTTCTTGAAGGCTTAGGTTATTATAGAGCTTTGTAATATGTCAGAGTTTGAATTTAGAGTGATTTTTTTTTTTTGCTTATTTTTAGCTCACAAACAAGACTCTAAGCAGTAGTAGTCAGACAGAATTAGAAAATCGGCTTCATCAGCTGACAGAAACACTAATTCAGAAGCAAACCATGTTAGAGAGCCTGAGCACAGAGAAAAACTCACTTGTGTACCAGCTGGAACGGCTTGAGCAACAGCTGAAGGCTATCCAAGGCACAAGTGCTAATGGACCTTCCATTAACATGGCAGGCATTGATGGTGCTGAAGGTAAATAAGGAAATACAATACTTAAAACTCTTGTCTTTTCTGCAGTCCAGGTTTTTTTGTTTCCTCATGCCTTTTTCTGAAAGTCTGAGTTTGTAAGGATAAATAAGTGCTGAAAATAGGCCACTTATTCTAGAGACCTTCTCTACAGCAGCCAATATCATAGTTAACTAGAATCTCCTTTTTGTGAGCAAATTACTTCAGTAAATCTAATAAAGCAAATTTAGTTTTTAATTCTCAGTACTATGGCACAATTGAAACAGTTCTGTCACAGGTGCGAAGAAACTTGTATTTTGGGACTCAAACTGAAAATTAGAAACAGGATTTAAGTATTCCCTTGCAAAAAAGGTTTGGGAGGAGAGTAAGAATGGAATACTTCCTTTTGAGTCTTGATCTTGTTGAAATGAATTTCTTCTTGGCTTTCTGTTTTTCTTGAAAAGAAGCTTAAAATGTGATGGTTCTGATGAGGTTGGTTTTTCAGTCCTGTATCTCTGGGACAACCTCACCAGTTTATCCATGGTGTTGAGATGTTACTTTTAGAGACAAAATTTGTCATTTTGTATATATATTAAGTAACTTTAAAAGCAAGGGACAATCACCAAGAGGTGGGAAGTAACAGTCCAGACTTTTTCTCTGTGGGAGTTGTTTGTAAGTAACTTCAGAGAGCTGAATTTAGTTACACAAAAGTAACATTATCAAATCTTTTTTCTTAAAGAAAGTTGATACGTAGTAAAAATGTAAATAAAGTAAAACACTGTTGAAGGTACAAGTTAGTGTCAGAAATGTAAATCAAAGTTTCACTGTATGAGGGTAAAAAAAATTGGAGAAACTGTGCCAATATCAAACCCATCATTTTATACTCCTAATAATAGTTATTGTGACATGATGGAATTGAATATCAAGATATCCCTTTAGTAAATGAATAAATTTAAAAAACATACTAAGTTGAAGAAAAGTTTGATTTGATTGTAAGTTTATCAAGAACTGATGACACTACAATCATATTGAACACTATTTTTTTATTCTTTTTATATGTATTTGTTATATACTATCAATTTGTTTTATTTAAACAACAACTTGTCTAATTTTTTTTCACTTTTTCCCATCAATCAGGAGCTCGCCTGCGTAGTGTTCCTGTCCTGTTCAGTGACATGGACACCAGCATGGCAGGAGTCTACGGCAGAGTCCGCAAAGCTGCCAGTACTATAGATCAGTTTAGGTAAGAGTGTCCTGAGGGAACACGTTTGTAACTGCTGTCATCCTTGTCCAGTTTTACAGTGACACACTTTGGTGCCTATTATTCCCTTTTACAAAGGGAAAAGTTTAAAATAATGCAGCTAAAGTATGGTATAAAATGCTAAGTATTGATCCACTTCACTTGTGCTTTCCTATGACACTAATATTCTTAAACTTTTGCAAATTATTGTCAATTATTTAAACAAAGCTCTTACAGATTTTGATGCAAGAGGTTCCCTAAGTTATGAAAAAAAATCTAACTGAATTCATTACAGTCTTCTACATATTTTACTTTCAGAAGTTTTGACCGTGTGTGTGGTAAACAGTGTAAGAGTGTATTAGTGGGGAATATCATCTGTACTCTTTCAGTCCCAATGAAGACAAGATTCTGCCTTCTAAGGCAATGCAGCTGTTTACCTTGGAAGATAATCTATTTGAGGAATTATTAATGAAAATCATTCTGGATCCAGCAATAAATTTGCTTTGATCCCTTTCTGAGAAGCTAGGTGAATTGACAGTATTGACAGCAAAGGTCTGCTACAAAACTTGAAATAAATACCAACAGAAAATGAAATTTGGTAATACTTTGTAGTCCTTTGAAAGCAACATAGCTTGATAGAAAGTTCTTTGTGCTTCCATGGTACTTGAATTTCATTGTGAAAGGATTTCTGTGATTGGGAAAAAATAAGGAGTATATGTTTTATGGTCTGAATTTTCTCACCCCACGTAATGTTTTGAGTACATGAAGTAAAATTCAAGACAACAACAAAGCCTTGTGTGTGTTTGAGAAAATTCAAGACAGAAACAAAGCCATGAGATTTGTGGTGACTGGGATGAGAGGAACAGGGATTTATTGCTCAGTGTTGAATTGTGTGTTTTGTTTTCTCTTGCTACCTGTGTAGCATTCGGCTGGGAATCTTTCTGAGGCGATACCCCATAGCGAGAGTCTTTGTAATCGTTTACATGGTGAGTCAGCTTTCTTGAATGCAAGATTTCTATAGCCAATGTCTGTGCCAGTATGTCTTAAATGGCAAGACTGATGTTCAAAAGGCCATAATTAACTCAACGTGAGTTTTAGGAAAGTGGACCAAATAATACTTACACAATAGCATTTTGGAGTCCTGTTGTTTGGCAGTTTTCAGTTTTTCCTGGAAACTGTTAGTATAGGAGTCTTAAAGGCACTTTTGTAAATACCATTTAAATGCCTATGAAAGTAGATTTCTAGTAGCAAAATATGGAATGAAGGTGACCAGTTGCCAAGGTTAACCTGCGATGCCTGCGTGCACTGCATTTAGGAAAATGACATTTTTTAATATTTGACTCTTCACTTTGGTTTTTTTCAGTGGATAATGATTGGTCTCCTCTAGTAGCTAAAACATCAGCAAGACAAGTTGGTTTTTTTTGTAGAGTTAAACAATTAGTAGAAAATTGCTCACCCAAATTGAGCAAAACTGTCAGGCTGGCAATTGCTAGAAGTGAAATGCCTCCCTTATCCACTAGAGGACAGATGCCTGTCAGCTGCAGGGACCTGTGGATAGTCTTTGTAAAAAACGCTAAAGACTTCTGCTGCCTGAGCTGCAATCTGAAGGGAAACTTGATGGTGGCTATATAGGAGTTGGGCAGTCAGTGGGAGTTACCCATTTTCAGCTCAAACCTTGACCATGACTAATCTAACTTGAATTTTTTAAAATATTTTTTTAAAGTAAATGTGGGTTGTGTATTTTTCTTTGCATTCCAGGCAGCTTCTATTCTAATTGGATAGTTTCAGCCAAATTTGAATGAGAATTAACATTCCTACAGAATTCATAGAAATGCCTCAAATCAGTGCCTGTGATAAGGAGAAGGAAATCAGAGCTTGGCTGGTTTACAGTCTGGTGTCAGCCAGTTGGCACAGGACTAGTGGCTTACCAATCATACAAGGCACATCACATAATGTGCTGGCTGGGGACTGGATATCAGAGGGAACAGCTGAAGTCACTGTGGCATGGAGGAAAAGAGAAACTAGACAACACAAATCTGTAGGAAAACAGGCTGCTTTATTTTTGCTGCTTGAGTAAAGTCTTTAGTTTTCTGTAAGTAGCTTTTTTAGAATCTGATTTAGAATTTCGTTTTTCAAATGCCAATCATTTTTTTAGAAGTATCTGATTAATAGAAAAACTATTTCAATCAAAATATTTCTACAAAACAAGTTTGATCAGCTCTCATTGGGAGCCCTCCTGTGGATGGTGATTGTCAGTGCTAAATTTATTTCTTTTCTTTTCCCAGGCATTGCTTCATCTCTGGGTTATGATTGTTCTCCTTACCTACACCCCAGAAATGCATCATGACAGTCCCAGTGGCAGGTAGACTGAGACAGGACCGTATGCTGTGCTAATGTGATGTGGACTGGCAATGCCTTTGAATTATCAGTCCTGAAACATCAGCAAACTTTTCCTCATGGTGTTTCAGAAGGATGAAAACCATCATGCCTGATTTATCACTACCTTTCAAACACGTGTGTAATACTATGTAGCTTTTTCAATTTACCTAAAAGAGCATCACTTACGTGGAGAAATGAAGCTGTTAAGCTAAGCTCTGATTAGCCTTTACAATTTATGTACACCCTCTGGTGGTTAGAGTGAAAGATAAGGCTTGTTCTGCAGAGAAATGCAAGGATTTCTGAAATCACAGATATATCTGGTACAAATTATTTTAGAACATACTGGATGTGGGCTATGGTCAGGTAATAAACTGTATTTAGCATTTTAAATAAACTTCTTTCTGGTTGCTTTCAGTTGGCTTTTGCACTTATGTTTTTAACTTTGTATATAATAGGCTTTTCCTTAACATTAACTGGAAAAAGGACAATGGATTGGTGCAATATATTTTTGTAAATAAGTTTAAGAATAAAATATTATGCATTCTTCTTAGCTTTGTACTTCTAGTGCAAGAGATGTATCTTTCCTACAAACTGAATAGTGGGGCTGCCTATTTAGAGGCTGGTATTTTAGCTTTATTAGAGAAAGAGATGGTTTTTGAGAAGGAAGGTTTAAACTGTTGAGAGGTAATGGTGTTTCTTTTTGCACTTGAAATTTGTATATTTTAACTTCATTTTCTTATACCTCTCTCATTAGTACATGTCGTAATCAGAACTTATTAAAACATTTATTTTCTAAAGCTTTGGGTATGTAATTAAAACTATTTCTATATGAAATCTATCAAAACATTAAAAATTTCTAATGTGTAAACACCAAATATACTAATAAACAAACCTCATCAAATATTTATAGTAAAACCCAAAATACCAAACCTACTGTAGAAGTTCTGTTGTCAGATTGTGGCATTCTGTAATTACGAATTTTCAAGAGACAATCACACACGGTCACTTTCTTAAGAAATTTCTTGGTTTTTTGTGTGGTGCTCACAGCTGAGTAATGAAAAGATGACTGCAAGCAATTTGTCAGTCCTGCTCTTAAGGATGTGGTTCAGTTTCCATGTGGTTTGAACACACAGCCTTACGGCCTGTGCATGAAGTCTGTCATGCTGGCTCCTATGGAAGTGTTACAGTGGACAAATGACTCTATTGCTGCTCTGATTCAGATCTTGCAGAGAAAACTGAAATGTTTGGATAAACCCAGTAATAAAAGAGAGCATTTATTCTAAGTTGTGTCTGCCCTCTATCACATTTGTTGCATTTTGCCTAATTCCTGCTGCCTGTTTTCTTTTCAATTCTGGTACTAAAGCCACTTTTGAACCCCAGGGGGAGCTGATTCATATGGAAAGAAATCAAATAAAGGACCTTTGCACACTCATGTTCTACAAACATCCAGTGTTTTCATTTAAACGCTTCCAAAAAACCTGAAGCTTTGGATATTTGAATATATTGTGGTATTTTGGGGGGTACATTATTAGAGGTATAAACCCTTGCAGCTTTACATCTATTCTTACTTCCTATTTTTTTTGGTTTCCCCCCACTTTTTTTTTTTGTGTATGTGTGTGTTTTTGGTTGGTTTGTTTGTGGGGTTGTCTGGTTTGGTTTTGGGGGGAGGGTTGGTGGTTTTTTGGGTTTGCTTTTTTTTTTGTTTGTTTGATTTGTATGTTTTTTTTGTTTGGACAATGTCTTTAGAATGCACAGATACTTTCTTTTTGGTGAAACTTACTGAAGCTGTTACAAAACTCTTAATCATAGATCAGTGCTCTTTTCTTGAGTGTTCCAGACTTTATGGTCGAAGCTTCACAGGGATAAGCACAGGAAAACAGGAATATTGTTTCCCAGCTGCTGTATCTCACTGCCTTGAGAGCACAATGGGCTATTTTGTGGTTAAAAAGTCTGCTTTTATTTCCTTCCTGCCTTCCTTCCTGGACTGAAACTGCTCCAGGTACCAAGCATACAGTTTGGCGGAGTGAAAATGATGAAAAATGAGGAACAGGGTTGATAGGAAGCCCGGCATTATTTGTTTGCCCCCTCCCCATTTGTGACCAGGCTGTGGTCAGAAGGACAGAGTGCATTATGCCACCTTTTGGAAGGAGGTGAGAGGAGCTGTTCCCTCCAGGCTGGCTGGAGATGGACTGAGGGGAGGGCTGGAGCTGCTCAGGTGGAGGAGGCTGCAAAGGGCGGCAGGGATGGGTAATGAGAGCAAAACTACTGATAACTCTGTAGTCTAGAAAAGGCCTGTTTGTTTCAGACTGCTCATCTTTGATACATGTTCCATTAGGCAGATGTACTTGGAGTCAGATTTGGGTTTCTGCGAAAGAGGGTTTTGTGTGCATCCTCACAAGCCCTCATCAAACATCAAACTCTTCTTTGCCACCTTGGTTTGCTGATACCTGATCTGTGCTTTATTTGCTGTGCCAGGTCAGCCACATGTATACTTAGACTGTGCAAAGGAAGTGACTTTATTGCTCGATTGCAGATAGCATTAACAAGGGGGAAATCAGAATTGGATGGTAATTAATCTTCTAATTTCTCATCAATATAGATGAGAGACATATTGCTTTCCCAGAGAGAATGGCTTTCTCTGCTGACCGACTGCAGCCTGATTACAAGATTTGACATTAATATGTTGCTAGATATTTAGCTATGAAACTGTAAGAATAATACAAAGAATTAATCAGAATTTTGTGTGCTTTCATTTGTATGTTATCTTCCTGCCCTACAGCTTGAGTTTGAAAGCCTAGACTTGGAAACAGGCAAACAGATGTCAGCAAACCAGAAATTGTGACAGATGAATAGCAGCTCCCAAAATTATCTGCATTATTCTAACAAGCATCCATGTGCATGCACTCACATAAATAATCCTCTTAGATACACATGTTCCTTTCAGAAATGCAGTCATTAATTTAATCTCTATTTTAGGGTACTCGATATTGGGCTGGTGGCAAAACTGGATCCACAATCCATCATAGGAGAATGATCTTTTGAGTTCTCCCTACCTAATGTTGCCTCCTAGCAATACTGCTTGAATTGAATACTGTTCATCAAGGAGTTACTGCAAGCTGTTTGGAGAAAGTATCTGATACGCCAGGCACTCAGGGAACTAGAGAAGTCATGAACCATAAACTGGATCTGAGGCGTAACTGAATCAAGATATACAAAAAACTAGGCTGGGAACACAGAGACACTTTTTCAGGTTGGAGGGAAAAACCAAAATTGCTGGTTTATAATTACAAATGTTTGCTAGTAACATGGTTAAAAGTCCAATGGGTCAAATACTGTGTAAGAGACTCCTTGTGAGAGAGTAAAAGATAATAAAAGAGAAATAATAACTTTTTTGTGCCATTACTTAGGTTTTTCTAGTCAAGAATCAGGAGCATGGATGAGTGTTTTGTCTAGAATTGGCCTTTCCTATGCTGAATTTTAGCTTTTTTTCAGGCAGATGTTGCATGTGCAGGTTTTCATGTTTGCATATTCTGCTCAAATCAGGCAAATTACAAAAAAGTATTTTGAGTCCACATTCTTTGAGGAGAAACTGGAGGAGGACACAAGCAAGAGTCTGAGCTGTGTAGAAGCAAAGAGATGGGCTCCTGATGTTCTGCAAAATCAAGCATGTGTGTTTGGTAAAGCTCTGTGATAAGAAATGGATGTTCTTATTTGCTGAAGTTAGCAAAGCTGAAATTAATCAACTGCAGCAAAATGACTGATGGGTCATTTTGACCCTGGAAGATCTGAGCTTAGTGGAATGGGATAAGAGTGAATGTTGATTTCTTCTCCCAAAAAAGGAGTCTGTTTTGGCAATCATAGTAAAAAGAAACATTATCAAAGCCAGCACTTTCTACAGTTTAGTGCTAACATACTTGATGTGTTTTCTCAATAGCTTATAAAAAATATCACCTTAACACTAGTGTCTTGCAGCAACCTGGAATGGATGTAGTCTGCATGTGCAAAATCAAGCAATAGTTGTCCTAAATTTCTCTATTTAAAAAATTAAGAAGTTTGTTGAAAGCATTTGTGTTGCTATCTTTCGTGACAACACAATTAGTGTTTAGTTTGTAATTAGAAAACACATTCTGCTGAATGAGAGATGGGAGTGCCATTTTTCTGCCCAAACAGGTGGATAGTTGCTCAACAAGATCCCAGCCCGTGAATGTCCAATCTCTACTGCAGCCTTCCAGTTCCATTCCTGTTGCAACAACTGGGGAGGCTGCACAGCAGCAGCAGATGAAACAAAGAGCAGAAATTGGTACTTTCCCAGCTGTTCATGCTGATGTTCAAAGCTTCCCTGTACAATAAAGCTAGCTTAGCTTGAATTGCGTGTCAGTGTCTGCCAAGTGGATATGCAGATCAAGACTTTCCTAAGTGAGATCTCCTAAAAACATATTTATTCACCTAAAGATAAGGGTCTTGGTTTTGTTTAGCAAAGCCTTGGTTCTTCTGGGCCCTATTATCCTAGTGAACCATGACTTTGACCTCTATGGGATACTCAGCAGGCCACAAGCTGTTGACATACAAACTTTGGTAGCCCTTGCTTCCCAAAAGCAGCACATGGTTTACCTTTGCAGAGTCACATCTGCCCCCTCCCTCAGGGGTGGTGGGAGGCACCGTGGGCTGTAGCTCTGTGGTCCTGGCCCCATGGAGCCTGGTTTTCCCAGGCTGCTGCCAGTACCCTGCAAGTGACCCCATGTGCAGTCATGGAGAGGGAACATCTGCCTTTACCAGACAATAGGACATCAAGGACCAGGACACACACTGTTCGTCTGTGATGTGTGTGGCCATAACACCTCACCTTGACTGGGCTTTCTCACTGCATATGGCATTTTTGCAGGAGAACAATAGGGGAAGCTGTCCAAGATTCTGCTTCCAAGCTGACACAGAAGCAGGGTTGTGGAGAAGATGGAAGTGATGCTGCCTCTGCCACCAAGCCAGACACAGCTGGGGACTGTTTACAGGCCAAAAATCCTGTGTCTGCCTGTGGGGATCAGGGAGGGAGAAAAGGTTGTCCAAGGACTGGAGGCCTGGCTTTGCATCCAGAACAGACTTTTCCAGAGGCATAAAGCATCGCCTGTATCAGCTATACATGACTATTTATCATTAATCCAAGGTTATTGAAAGCATTGGTTTGAACTGCCTGCACCTGCTGCTTCCCAAGGGTTCACACAGATATCAATTATGCAACAAAAGACTTTAGTGAAAGCGAGCAGTACAGCTGCTGCTTTGTGGGGGCTGTGTCCTCCTGCCTTGGGCCCTGTACCCAGCCAGCCATGAGGCCCATCACAGCCAGCTCCAGGCAGGTGGAGCCCTGCCCTGAGGGTCAGGACCAGCTCCCAACAGCACTGTGCTCCAGCAGTTCTAAGTTT